GTGAGTGCATGTGTGTGTGTGTTTGTGCACATGAGTGTAATTCCCATGGAGATCTAAAAAGGAAACCAGATCTCCTGGACCTTAAAGAAGGCCTGTGATTAGAAACAGCACTAGTGGATATAGTAAACCCCAGTCTACTGGACGCCTGGTTTCCAATAGTCTACACAAATGGCAATTGAGCAAAGGCAGGATGAACTATCAGTGAGCCAAATCAGAGCTGTGGAGTAAGCAATCAGACCATAGGAACAGAATTTTGTTCATTTGTTTAACTTCTAACTACTAAGTTGTTATATTCTTTATTGTTATTATATTATATCTGAGAGTGTAGTTCCCTCATAAACCCAGATTTAATCCAATCACTAGAATTTAATGATAATATAATTTGACTTGTATAAATTTGCTTTGGATTCAGGATTGTATGAGCATGTTTCTAAACAGTTATGGACTGTTATCAAGTGGGAAGGTAACCACAGGGTTTTGTCTTAGTGACCTTCCTATTACTGTGATAAGACATCATGACTAAGGCAACTTGTAGAAGAAAGAGTGTATTGGGCATGGTTGAACAGACAGATGTCCTTGTTGCATGAATGTGCTTCTTTTGGGTGTATGCCTAAGAGTGGAATTGCTGGATCTTGTGGTAGACTGATTCCTGAGTGAGGTAACCCAGTCACAAATAGACAAACATGGTATGTACTCACTCATATATGGATTTTAGACATAGAGCAAAGGATTACCAGCCGACAATCCACACCGCCAGAGAAGCTAATAAACAAGGAGGACCCTAAGAGAGTCATACATGGTCCCCTGGAGAAGGGGAAAGGGACAAGATCTCCTGAGCTAATTGGGAGCATGGTGGAGGGGAGAGGGATCTAGGAGAATGAGCAGGGGAGAAGAGGAGTGAGGAGGACAGGAGAGAGCAGGAAGATGAGTCAGGGGAAGAATAGAGAGCAAGAAGAGAAATACCATAGTAGAGGGAGCCATTATAGTTTTAAAGAGAATTCTGGCACTAGAGAAATGTCCAGAGATCTACAAGCATGACCCCAACTAAGAATCTAAGCAATACTGGAGACGCTACCTTAAATGCCTTCTCCAATAATGAGATTAATGACTACCTTATATGCCATCCTAGAGCCTTCATCCAGTAGCTGATGGAAACAGAAGCAGACACCCACAGCTATACACTGAGCTGAACTCTGGAACCCAGTTGTAGACAGGGAGGAGTGATGAGCAAAGGAGCCAAGACCAGGCTGGAGAAACAGCTGACCTGAACAAGGCAGAGCTCATGGACCCCAGACTGATAGCTGGGAAACCAGCGTAGAACTGACCCAGAGCCCCTGAATGTGGATGTCAGTTTGGATGTCTGGTTAACCTATGGGGCCTCTGGTAGTGGATCAGTATTTATCCCTAGTACACGAATGGACTTTGGGAGCCCACTCCACATAGAGGGATACTCTCTCACCCTAGACACACGGGGGAGGGCCTTGGCCCTGATCCAAATGATGTGAAAGACTTTGAAGATTTCCCCCATGGAAGGCCTCACCCTCCCTGGGGAACAGAAATGGGATGGGATGGGGGGCAGCGGGGGAGGGGGGGCAAAGGAGGAGGGGAGGGAGAGGGTACTGGGATTGTCATGTAAAACAAGCTTGTTTCTAATTTAAATTAAAAAAAGGAAAAAAAGAGTGTATTGGGGATTACAGTTCAAGAGGGTGAATCCATTACTATCACCTGTCATGGCAGAGAGCATGGCACTGGTTAGCTAAGAGCAACCACAAGACAGAGAGTTCTGGAGAAAGCTAATTGGGAATGGTATGGGTTTTAGAAACTTTAAAGTGCATTTAAGATTTCAAAAGGCCACACCTCCTAATCCCTCCCAAACAGTTCCAGCAACTGGGGACCAAATATTCAAATAGATGGGGGCCATTCCCATTCAAACCACTGCAGATTTACTCCATATTTCATATCACAAAATCATCTTAATAAGTCTTCCATAACCTCTTACAAGTTCTTCTGTCTAAGTATAGATGAGTTTGTATAGTTCATTTAAAATCTCTAAAACAAGGCTGTAATTTAAAATTTTTTGCTAAAGAAATGTGCTATAGGAATTGTATATTCAAAACTTCAGTGTTGTCAACAGATTCAGTTTTATACAAGACAGGGCTATGGAAAAAGAGTTACAGATGTAGAGCAAAGATTAGGTAGCTTCCAGTGCATTAAGCTAAGGAGTGCTTGGGAGTGTGGGGCCATGAGGAACTTCAGCTGTGGAGATGTGTAGCTTTCGAGAGTCAGGCCTTTCCAATTGGCCCTTAACTCTTTTGAATTTCCAACCAATTTCTTCCTGGATGTGTGCTCAGTTCCTATCCACCTAAGGCCTTTCTCTCCCCTGCACCTCTGTTTGTCAACTCTGTTCCTGGCCTTGGCCTTGGCCTCTCAGGCCTCTAGCCCTCCCTTCCCAGCCTCAGTCGCTGCACTGGCCCTGGAACTCAGGCCTGAAGGGCTCTCTGTGTGGGGCTGTTCTACATGCCAGTTTCTGGTTCCCAGTCCTTGACCTGGTGACTGTCCTTGTGGAATTCTTCTATGAGCTGGCTGTTGACTTTAACCTGTTATACCAGTATCTGCCTCGGCCACACCCTCCAGGCCCATTCTACCTTGCTTCTGCTATCATTGTCCCTGCCCAAGTGTGACTTGTCTTTTACATTCTCCTGCCACCTGTTCCCTTCCTGTCTAGCTTCTCTGCTCCCTAACCCACAATGCTACCATCTGAGTTAATCCCGTTATTGGGAATTATGTAAATAAGAACTGGTACTTACATAGTGTTTGCCTATAGCAAACAAGGAATTCAAACGTTGCATGTAGACTTTACAGAAGGAGTTACCAATACAGATTGAAAGGTTCAGGCATTATGCTGGCCTGCCCCTGTTACCTGGCAGAATCCACTCAGGCACGAAGTCCACTAAGTCTGCACACAGGTGCAAAGGACCCCTTTAAAAGACAGACTTCTGCCCACTTGTGTTTCTCTCTCTCTCTCTCTCTGTCTGTCTTTCTCTCTCTATGGCGACTGGCCATGGTGGTCAGCCATTAACCCTGTTTCTCTTCTTTGTCTCTCTACTCTGCTGGGCCTATAACAAACGGGTTAATATGTCTAACAGTCTCCTGTCTCATCTTGTGCCTCCTCTTCTTTATTTCCAATTTAAGCAAAAATCTAACTAACATAGATGACTAATTAATTTATATTCATTTTATCTCTTATTTTGGCCATAGGCTGTCTTTATTCACTTAGACACTGTATACATTTTATAAAATACTATTATTTCCTTTTACTGCAAAAGCTTTTATATATTTTTATATAATTTCTTCATACAAAAACCTAACCATTGCTTCAAATCTTTGTAAATATCAGCAAATAGCTCTCAGTGGAGGTGAACAACAAGTTCAAATGAGGGAGCAGTGGGGCAGAGGACAGTTTGGAGTGATCCACCCGGGTCCTTCCTGTTGGTACCATCACCATCACCTCTAAAAGGATCAGGGCTAAGGGCCAGTAAGGGATGCACATGAGAGTCCAGGGGGACCTGTGGCATTGTGAGGGGTGGAGAGCTGTGAGAAGCCTGGGGAAATGCCAGCCAGCATCTGACTCTATTCTGCAGGAGCAGGCAGCATGGCTGTACCATCCATCCCGGGGGTGGGGGTGTCAATTCCCTTGTCGTCGTTGTCACTTATGCTTGGAGTCAAGGATGAGCAAGGAGGCTAAGAAGTAGGGAAGATGCCTGGAAAGGAGGGGCATGCAGGTGGGCTCTGCTGTAGGCATGTCGTGGCCCTTCATCCTGAATTTCATCAAAGATCAGGAGCAAGGACTTCCTGGGTACATGTATATGGTTGGTCAGCTTCCTGACCAGCAGGCCTGAGCTTCCTGTAGCCACGCCTTCACTGCCATAATGCACTGTGAACTAAAAGAAGCTCTTCCTGGCAGACTTGCCTTCTGTTAGGGTATCTCACATTCACAGATTTTGGAATGGGACAGGGACAGGGGACACCACAAATGAGATTGGGAGCAGCAGGGTAGGGTAGTTGTCTGTTACTCCCCAAAGGGAGGGAGAACATGAAAATTATTGAAAGCAGAGAAAAAAGGGTCTGTATGGAATAGTGATGAAGATACCAAGGAAACCCTAGAGGGAGAGAATAGCCTTGAGAAGAAGGAAGAGTATTACCAAATCAGGGATAAATATGGAGAGAGCCTGAGTGGGGAGGCAGGACTGTTGTCAGCTGGAAGAAGGAATGAACAGTCTGTGCAGCATCCTGACTCTCAGTCTGGAGAGAGGACCCCTCACTGGCCCAAAGGGCAAATTCAGTGGCAGACTTGAGGACCATGGGATGATTGGGAGGAACTACTGTGGAGACCACAGGTCCACAAAGGGGCAGTGGGCTGAGTATCATGCGTTTTTAATGAAATTAATATAGGAATTGTTTATTTTTATTACTGTCTCTAACATTGTGACATGTAGACTGTGTAGGCAATAGAATTTAAATGACTTTATTTTTTTATTTTCAAATGTACATATTTCTGTGTGTGCACGCATGCCTGTGTGTATACACACCCATGCATGCAGTACCCTTGGAGGCCAGAAGAGGGTTTCGGATTCCATGGAGCTAGAATTACAGGTGATTGTGAGTCACTCAACATGAGTACTGGGAACCCAACTCGATCCTCTGCAAAAGCAGCCAGTGCTTGTAACCACTGAGCCATCTCCCTGGCCCCTCAAATAGCTTTTATATGGAGACCTGCGTGTGACCATTCATTGGAAATTAACCAAGTAAATGCATAATTGCCGATTAGACTTTAACAATACACTTTCCCCCTTTACTTTTAATAGTCAAATCAAGTAACAAGTTCTAAGAAAATGCAGGCCCAATATCCTGTCTTCAAGTGTTCTGCATGAAAGAGAAGCCATCAGATTTTCTAAGGCTTGTAGCTCATTCTTGTTTCTTATGTATTATGTATTTTTTAGGTTGGAAAAACTAATAGCATCCTTTTTGGAAGACCAAGATCCAGAGAGTAGACTGGAAGTTGGTGCTGATATGCGTAAAATCCACCACTGTTTTCATCATTTTAAGGTAAATTTCAATGTTTCCTCCAGCCATAGCCATGTCCTGCAATGCTCCAACTGCAATAAAAAATCTTCCTGTTGACCAGCTATAGAAACACCAGAAACTCAGCTTCACACATGCAGAAAACAGTCTGGGTGTTCAAGAAGGCTGTGACTATTTCTGGGCAGCTGCAGGGATTATTTATTCCACAAATAAACTCTGGCCATGGAGTTCTAATTCCTTTTCCATGAGTCTCTCTGCTTTGTGCCCAGAATATGCTAAAACACACAATTGTGTGTATACACACACACATACACATGAACATAAAAATAAGCACACATACATATTCAGTTTCAAGATGGTTGTGTCCAGGTTTTTTCCCAAGTATTTTGGTTTAACTGAATAATTTACTAATTTTCCTCAGCCTCTGAAATTTTGCTTCTGTGATTAGGGGGTAGGAATATCACCAGTTTTCACATGTAATTTTACACACTTTGAGACAATACTGTGAGATGATGGGGCATTTTGTACCCTTTCTGAGGAAATACAAACAAACATCTGTTTACCTCAGATAAGGCACTCACAGACCAAAGAAATGATTCTGCCAAGTCTATTTGAGTGAATCAATGAGTTTATGGAGGTTACACAGCATTGGTGACTCAAAGGCACATGTTTCATTAAAAAGCCCCACCCCAGCAGGGTTGGTGATTCAGAAAAACTGCATATGCTAAGAGCCCTTGCAACTTGCAGGCCACACTACAAGAGTCTCTCTATCAGTGATTGTTTTCTGCTTGTTAACCTTGGGGGAAAGGACTTTGTGAACCTTGTAAGTTTCAGGAACTTCCTGTGCCTTGGAGGTTTTGTTTGCTTCTTGCTTTGCTTCTTGAGTCATGGAACCTCCAGCCTCACTCTGGGAGGGAATGCTTCAATTTTGAGTAAATAGCTTCACAACAAGGAAGTGGTGGGGGTGGATCTAGAGGAGATACTATTTAAGGAGGATTTACCAGCTTGGAAGAGGGAGAAGCTAAGGTAGAGGGGACTGGAAAGGCAAGTAGAAGGAGGAAACATATCTAGCCAATGTAGTAACAGCCTGAAAAACAAGGGTAGACACGCATGACCAGTGTGTACTAGGAACAGCATAGTAGCAAAGAGACTTAGAATGTGGCCACACTCAGTAAGCTCTTACCCCGACTTGCAGAAGCTGTTGAATGACAAGAACACCATGAAGAACACCATCTCCTCTGAAACCACCCACCAAGCATGCCAAGAACCTTTGAAAGATGAAGAGTACACAAAGCTCCGAGACCTTCTCAAGCAGAGGGACAATGAAATCAGTATCCTTTCTGTGGGGGGCTGGGTGTGTGAGAGGCTCTCATGGCCTCACTTGGAAGGGGGCAACATGTAGACTTCCCACTCCTAGCCTCACGGCACTACCACATTCCTCAGTGTCCCAGCTGACCCCAGCCTGCTTCACATTGGGAAGTGTCACTCCCACAAAGCTCAAGCAAACATCTGACATTAGCATTGACGCTTGTTTTTTTGTTTTGTCTTTGTTTTTGGTGTACGTGTGTGTGTGTGTGTGTGTGTGTGTGTGTGTGTGTGTGTGTGTGCACAATCAGTTTTCTCCTTCCACTGCATGGAACCTGGAAATTGAACTGAGGTCATCAACCTTGGTGGCAAGTCTCTTTGCCAGTGAGCCATCTATCTCTCAAGCCCTTCATGTAGTTATTCTTCCAAAGACCGTTTCAGCTCTTGCCTGGTATCATACCATCTCTTAACACTAAATCTTTTACAAATATATTTTGGTTACTCTGTGATGGGCTTTGTATTTTGAGTCCAGAGCCAGTAAGTTAGCTGATTAACTTTAGCTAGCTGATCAGACACCATGCTAACCACAGCCTCACCATGGCCCAGAATTTGTGGCTGGTGTGTGGTTGAAACTCAAAGGATGACTGAAAAAATGGCGTATGGTATTTAGTTTATGAAAAGCAAAGAGCTGGCTTAGATGTAACTTTTTATTTAAAAGCCAGATCTCTTGTCCTGAGTCCCATATACAAATTAGTTCCCAAATTAGACAGTGAGTGTTCAAGACAGAATTCCTCTTGGCTCCCAGAGGCAGCATCTTCTGGTTGCTGAAGGCAGTAGCTGCTGGGCCCAGGTGCTGCCTCTGGGTGTAGACAGAAGTGATGACTTGTAAAGAGTCCTAACTGTGGAGGCTAGACCTCGGGACTCTGAGGCAGTTCCTCAGTCTGTTCCTTATTTTTACCTTTCAATCTTCTTGTGAAAGATTTGACATTTTCATGACATTTATAGCCTTTAAACATTCACAAGAAATAATTTTTGCCAAATTTTTATAAACGTATTTTACTAATTAAAAAAATTACTAAGACACTTTTAAGTGCAGCTGTTGTGCAAAATGCATAAGTTCTTATCTACACAGGAGTTAAAAGTGCATACTGACCTTGCAGGGACTCAGACACAGGCCATAACATGGGGTTCACTCCATAACATGGGGTTATGAACCCATGAACAAATATATTATGATATATGTTCATGTTTTATAACTTTTTTAATGTGTACAGGAGCTAGAGAAATGGCTCGGCAGCTAAAAACACTTGCTGCTCTTCCGGGGGGGGGTGTCCCAGTTTATTTCCCAACTCATCCCCAAGCACCCACATCAGGTGGTACACAATCACCTGTAGCTCCAATTCTAAAGCATCTAATGTCCTCTTGAGGACTTTGCAGACACCAGCCATCATACACATTCATGAGTGCTCAGGAGTGCACATGTACACACACACCAGACATACAATGCACACACATGCACACATGCCACACAATCACAACACACACATGCACACACATACATAACACACATACACACACAACACACATACACAACACACACATGTGCACACATACAATACACACACACAACAATACACATACATAGAGAGAAGCTTACATATACACAAATAATCCACACAAAGGAAAACCAATAGAAAAGAGGGAAAAAAAAACAATCCAAACAAAGTAGATGAGTTGCCTCATTAGCTTCAGTCTCTAATTTTAGTTGAGTCTTAGCAGATCCCATGTCAGGGTCAAGTCAGTTTTAGCTACTTTATTATCCAGCCAGCAACGGTAAGTCCAACTGTGAATTACACCCTCATCTCCCGTGCTGCCCACAGTGTTGTCACCCCTGCATTCCTCCCTCTTTCTTACCCCATCCATCTCCAGGGACGGCCGCAGGCCTGGCCCTAGCCCCAGTCTGTGTTCTGTTTCTTTTCTTGGCCTTGATCCTAGGCTGGGATCTTCCCCCCTAAATACTCCTACCAGCCTCTCAATACTTACCATGCCTTGTGGACGTCTCTGCAGTGAGGAGGAATGAAATGAGATGTGACAGACAGGGACCAGTCCAGGCTGGCCTGCATGTGTTTACAGAAGGGTAAGAGTGAACGAGAGACGTGTGCACCCGCCCCCACCATCTTCACCACACTGAATCCACACACACAGTGAGTAAGTCACGTGCAGTGCAGCTCCTTCCCTCGGAAGCTGGGATGCAGAATGGTGATATGAAGGGCGAGAGAGGGCTCAGTGAGTAAGACCACTCACTGCCAAGCCTGAAAACATGAGTTCAACACCTGGAACTCACAAAATGGGAAGCAAGAACAAAGATGCACTGAGGTGCTGTGACCACCACGGGACAGGGCACTTTAATGAGGCAAGAAGGAATGGAAGCCACATTGGGTGTTCTAAGGGAAAACGTGGCTGGTCATCCAGAAATCAACAAGTTGCAGTTAAACCTGAGGAGGACTATGAAAGCCAGATTGTTTCCATGTTACATGCTCAAAAACATATAAACCAGACTCATCCATCTGTTCTGAGCAGCAGTCTTCTCCCCGCACTATTTCTGTGTTTTCTGAGACTTCTGTGTGTGAGTGAGCATGTGCACACATGCTCTCTTGCATGCCAAAGATTGATATTGGGTGTCTTCCTCAGTCACTCTCCACCTTGTATTTTGAGACACAATCTCTCACTGAACTTGGAGATTGCCAATTTGCCTTGTCACTGTGGCCAGAAAGCCTCAGGTGGAGGCCTTTCTCCATCTCCTAGCACTGTTGGCAAGCATCTCCACCCTCTATGCCCAGACTTTTGCATGGGTCCTGAAAAGAAGACAAAGTCTCATGTAGCCCAGGATGCCCCCAGAGTCATTAAATTTACAAAGATGGCCCTGAATTTCTGATCTACCTTCTGCCCAAGTGTTGGGGTTCTAAGCATGCACTATGTCACCTGGCTTAATGTGGTCTTCAGATGAACTCGGGTTTGTGCATGCATAAATAGGACTCCACAGGCACATTTTCCACCTCTAGCTTTTGATGGAGATATTGGTACAGCTTCTAAAGAACTCATTAGAAGCCCAGACTCCTTTGTGTGCATTGGCCGTATGTAGACCAGCGTGTTGTGGATTCTCATGACTGACCCTCCACCAACACTCCTGCCCCCCAGGCTCCCATTTCTACTTTTCACACGGACATTATCTGGAATTTTAAAGATCTTTCAGTGTCTTAGTTTTTGTTATGCTACTGTGAAAGGCTGGTTCCCTCCTAAGCTGCCCACAGCTGCACTGTAGATTCAAGGAGGTGCTTCCTTCCTGTGGCACGGCTGCATCAAAGTGCAGTAGTTGCAGTTATTTGGTTGGAGGATAATTATTTCTATTTGGATTTTTGTCTGATCACTATCATCTGTCTGTTAGGAGCCACTAAATCCTTAATTCAGATTTCAGATATCCTGGTCAACATGTTAAAAAAGGAAAAGAAGAAAACCCAGGATGCCCTGCACCTTTCGAGCAAGGAGATGAGTGAAACCAGGACTGCCCAGAACTCACCCTTCATTCCCAAGAGCCCAGCAGGTCAGAGCACCGCAGTCTCCTCAGCCCTGTACCAGGCCCAGGACCTCAGCACCTGCAGGCGCAGGTCCAGTTTGCTCCACAAAAAAACAGGTGGGTTGACTATATTTCCAGCATTCTTTATCACCCGGTATGAATTTCTACATCACATCTTGCCATCTGAACTGCAAAGATGGAGTTTCTGGTGATGTGCTTGTGAGAGGTTTTTTTTTTTAGTGAAATGCCTGTTTTCCAAATTCATGCGTGAATGGGGGAGAATCAGTCGAGTTTACTATGGCGGCATTGGATGTGGGGTGAGATGGGTCTGGGCACAAGTGAAGTGTCAGCTTCAGAGGTGGGGAAGAAGCCCTTTGTGTGACAGGGAAGAAAGAATGAGGTCTATACTGCAGCACCAGTGTAATGATGTTGTCTAACCCACAGCAGCTGTCCACAGCCAAATGACTTCAAAACATCAGTACAGCCTTTATCAAGGATGATAAATAGGATTCCACAGAGTTGGGCCCATCATAGGCACATTTTCTACCTCTAGCTTTTGATGGAAGAGTTGGTACAACTTCTAAAGAACTCATTAAAAGCCCAGACTACTTTGTGCTCATTGGCCGTATGTAGACCAGCATGTGTGGGTTCCTATGACTGACCCTGGCCATGTAAGATAGCAGTTCCCGTGTATGTGTTTGCTAGGATAGAACACCTGGCATATGAAGCTTTCTAAGGCATCTATACTGGGAATCATTTACAAGCCTGGTGGCATGTCAGCTAGTGTTATTTGTCAACTTGCTACAACCTAGAACAGCTTGGAAAGAAGTCCTTGGTTGAGAAATTGTCTATACTAGGTTGGCCTACACTATAGGCCCATACTGTATTCCTCTGGGCCTATAGGAATAGCTGTAATGTCTTGACTTGATTTCTCCAGCATGGTCTCTAGTGTGTGCTCCCTCAGTAATACAGAGATGTGTTTCTGAAGTGGGAGGACTGGCCCTGATCCTGGCGAGCACTGGTTCTTGGTCCTAGTCCTTGACTGTGTAAGAGTGACGAAAGCCACCTGAGTGAGCAAGCAAGGATCCAGGCATTTGCTCTGCTCCAGCCAGTAGGTGGAGCTTTACCTTCCTGCCTTGGCTTCCCCCACAGCAGCAACTGGGATTACAAAGAAATAAACTCTCCCTTCCCTGTATTGCTTTGGCTAGGATATTTTGTTACAACAGAAATGAAAGCAGGATAGGCAGCACACGTTAGTTACCAGTACATAACGTGGAGTTTGTGGTGGGGACAGGAGATCAGGAGGGGTTTCTGGCCCCTCTCTGGCACTGTTCTCCACACAGTCCTGCTACATCTATTACAGTCTGCAGCTGGCTGAGATCAAGTGGGGGCCAGACCTGGATTGGTGAATTCTTTCATTGACTAACCCATCCTGCATGTATTTGTGGAGCGTATACTTTATGAAATGATTGCACTTCAGTGTATTTACTATTATAAAGGTTTGCATCATCTTTGAATAGACCAGTTACCAGGCTCACCTTGAATAGTAACTCATCTAATCATTATCCTGTGGCTTAGGTTTTGGTTTTCCCCCAAGTTGCCAATGAGAACACGTATGGACAAACACAGCTTTGACCTTTGAGTAATTGCAGACCAACATAACAGAGTCACTTAGGGAACACACACTAGGTCTGTGTCAAAGAAAATCAGAAAGACCCAGAGGGCTTGCAAGGGTCAGGTGTAGGTGGGGAGAAGAATCCAGTGAGAGGGAACCCATTGCTTGGCTCTTTGTCAAGCCCTCCGGTGGAGCCAGGACATGGGAAGGACAGGTGTGGCTGCAGAACAGACTAACATAGCAGAAGGCACTGAGATTCATGGCCAATTTAAAATTCCCGAGCCTTGGCCAGAGCCTAGAGTTGCTAGGAGAGGGACGGACACCTGGGTGTTAAGGAGGTGGGGCCCACAGGGCTTGTCAGGGTGAGCTTAACCCCCAGATCTCTGAGGCTGGTGGTGATCTCTAAAGATGTGATAAGTGAGAACAAACTGCCTCTCTGGGCCACAGTGATAGAAGCTTTGGCCACCATGAATATATGTCAGCACCTCTACTGCTGGAGCCAGAAACAGTTTTCAAAGCATGGCACTGCCCCTTGCTTGCTGCGTATCTTGAGCCACAGGACATTGGGAAGCCACAGAAAAAAAATTCTCTTTCTAACCTTACCCTGTTCTTTTCTTTCTCCTACTTCCCTCTCTCCTCCAAGGCAGGCCATCAAATCCAGAACCCCTCTCTCCACATACCACTCATGAAACTTAGAAATAGTCCCTCTCTGGTTTACCTTGACTGCCTAGATCGTAAGACTTTCTCTACAGAAGTCTGGCCTCCACTGGGTGGAAGGAATGCCACAAAGAGAGGCCAAGATGGATGTGGGCACACACTGTGAGTCAGCCTGTCATATCACATCATTTCTTTGGCCCAGTCACATTTCTATAAAGCTGTCTGTCCTCAGACCTAAACATGGAAGTAACCAATTTCCTTGTCTTCCTTCTGGAGACTGCTTGACCACATAAAAGTTGGCTTAGGTAAATCTGCTGCTGTGCTTCTCTCTCGCTCTAATCTCTCTTTTGTTATAGGGTAGTCACTGGTGACCTATATGACAGGTGAGGAAAGGTTGACCAACCACCTCTCTGTCACTGCTCAATCTAGAGGTTATTTTCAGTGCCCAGGGGGAACACCTTGGCTCAGAGAGGATGGAGCTCTGATTTATAACTGTCACATGTATGCTGAACTGACCTCAGGTTCACCATCTAATCCTAGGTGCAAAGCAGACTCTGTGAATGTCTATTTCTTCTTTTTTCTGCCGTTCTGAATGCTTCTCCCTTCCCTTGTAATTATAGCCAGCTTGTCCAGAGCCTCTCCCTCCCTTGATCTTGCCGTTGAGATGGACCACAGTTTTGCTTGGGGAACAAATCAAGTTTACTTGAATTGAAAATTGTTGAGAAAAAAAACCCTCACAGCGATTGTTTTCAAGGTCCAAGAACAAATGAGGTCAAAGCTTTGGAGAAGGGCCTCCCATCTGAAAGTGCTTTTCAGTTGTCTTAACAACCATTGGCTGGAGTTCCAGGAGAATTGTAAATGGGAGTCAGTGGACAAATGGACTGATAATGATCTAGCCATTCGGGGAAAGGTTTGGAGGGGAACCGACTTTATTGTCTGGCAGAGACTACAAATAGGAATGAAAATTGTGGAGGAATCAGTCATGGAGCGCCAGGTAATGGGATCCTTGATTATGTTTCAGATCCTGGGAGCCGATCAGACATTTATGACCACGGCGGCTTACATATGAAAAGCTTATGTAAACTAAAGCAAATTTTTAAAAAGTCAATAAGCTTGCTGTTTGGAAGTTGTTCTGTCTCAGGAAGGTGTCTTCGTTTCTTTAGACCATGCCAGAGCTGTTTCTAATGCAGTGTAGGTCACCCTGACCATCTTAGAAGATGGTAAACATGTATCCCTTTCTTCTACTCCGCTCGCACGTGAGCACCATTGAACTGGAAAGTGGGACTAAATTTATGGTTCACTAGAGAGCCCTGGAGTCCTTGTCCAAGCAGCTGGCCAGGTGGAAGTGGGGTGAGGCTTTGGGGCCTCCAGTTGTGGATATGGAGACTAGATGTCTATTGTGGTTTCCTTGGAAAGATGAGAGGGGTTGTTCAGTCTCAGTTTGGAAAGTCACACTGTCCTTTTGTGAGGCTGGGGTGTGGCTCAGTTGGTAGAGTGCTTGTCTAGCATGCACAGAGCCCTGATGTCCGTCTGCAGCACTTCGAAAAACCAGTTGTGTGGGGCAAGGGCTAAAGAGATGGCTCAGCAACTAAGAACTTGTATTCCTCTTCCAGAGGACCCAGGTTCAAATCCTAGCACTCGAATGGCAGTTCACAAATCCAGACAGGCAGCAGGCATCTGTGATCCCAGACAGGTGGGGCAGAGGCAGGGGTTCCCAGGAGCTCTCTGGACAGCCAGGCTAGAGGAATGACTGAGCTGTAGGTTCAGCGAAAACCCTGTCTCAAGTAATAACAATAACAACAATAAGGTAGAGGGCTGGAGGGATAGCTCAGTAATTAAGAGCATGTAGTATTCTTGCAGAGGACCCAGGATTGGTTCACAGCACCCATTTTGGGTGGCTCATTAACCCCAGTTTTAGGTGATTCAGTACCCTTTTCTGGCCTGTGCAACCACACACACACACACACACACACACACACACACACACACACCCACTCACACACACACACACCCACTCACACACACACACACCCACTCACACACACACACACCCACTCACACACACACACACACACACACACACACACACACACACACCCTGAATTGTTTTATCTCTGTCTGGCGCCACCTAGTCCTCCACTAAGTTAGGAAGAAAAGATCCAGGAGGCAAATGGGGACAGGAACCCACCTGATGCTTACCATAGAAAATGTGGTTTTTTTGCAGAGCACAGGGCTGCTCAGTTCAGGATTACTCTGCGAACTTCCTTGGAGAACATGCATCTTTCAAGCCCTCATTTGAAAGGCATGTAGAGAAGATGAGTAAATGAGACCTGAAAATGAGATCCAGGAGGGAGAAAGGAAAGATGTGGGGATGAGCCAGCACACAGATGTCCGCTCTCATGCGCCTGCACTTTCAAACTTTAATCTAGTGGTCTTTGTGACCCCAGTGAGGTCCTCAAACTTATGAACTGAGCAGTTGTTGTTGTTGTTGTTGTTGTTGTTGTTCTGAAAGAAGCACTCAGACCTTCGGTGGGAATGGGTTTCTGATGCTTGTGTAGCTTCAGTGGACAGCATGAGCTCTGGCCAATTTGCAGTCATCTGGGAAGAGGAACCTGCTGCCCGTCACACTGGCCTGTGGGACATTGTATTTGATTAATGATTGATGGGGGAGGGCCCAGCCACTATGGGTGGGCCCAGCACCTGGGTCCCTGGTGCTGAATTCTATAAGAAAGCAGGCTGAGCAAGCCATGAGGAACAAGTCAGTAAACAGCTCCCCTCCATATTCTAAATCAGCTCCTGCCTTCAAGTTCCTGCCTCTTTGAGTTCCTGTCCTGACTTCCTTCAG